CCTGTGCCATGCCAGGAAATTTTTCTCACTGGAGTCGATCCTTCAAATTTACAAATCAACCATTCGCCCTTGCATGGAGTATTGCTGCCATATATGGTCTGGTGCCCCTTATGTTTGTCTCGAGGTTCTTGATAAGATCCAGAGACAGATATGTAATGTAATTGGCCCAAATCTGGCATCTCATCTGCAGTCGCTCTCTCACAGATGTGCCGTTGCCTCGCTCTGTTTTTTTTTTTTTTTTTTTTTTTTTTTACAAATACTTTCATGGTAACTGATCCAAGGAGCTGCTTTTGCTGGTTCCCAAACTTCATGAATCTAAGCGTTCTACTAGGCTGGCATCTCGCTCACACCTTTTCACTCTCGAAACTGTTAAATGTAGCCGTCTCTTCTACTCCAATAGCTTTGTCTCACACCTCTCACCTGTGGAACCCCCCTTCCCGTTTCTCTGATAGCTACAATCTCCAACTATTCAAATGTAATGTCAATTGATATCTCTAGATGGCCTGATCTATCCCCTATCCTTCTCTTCATCCTTTTCTCATCACTCCTATTTGCTCTCGCTCTAACTCTCTGTAACCTCTTGCGTGCTAGTGGCTTCCCGCCATGCTTGGGGTGAAATACTAAAAAAAAAAAAAAAAAAATAGTGTTTAATTAAAATTTTTTTTTATTATCCTTTAAAACCCTAATCCATCATCTTAAGCTAATATCTTATAATCCCCAGGATGACAGGACAATATTAAATTTGAACCCTGATGCCATGTATGAAATAAACTATTATCAAAATGTTTAAATTTGTCAAACTGCTTAAATTATGACCATTTTTAATTTTAATTATACACTTTGCTTACACAAATCTCTTTAACAAAGAGCTGACTCATATGGAAAAGACCAATGGCCGATGCAGTATTAGGAGTCATTGCTAATTTAGTCTGAAGTACAAAAAAGAAAAACCATGAAAAATCTTTCATTACTGTTGCTAATTTTTCTGGTTGAATTATTTTAGATTCATTAATACACTGAAAATATTTAATGTGTATTTCATGAAATCTGCCCCTCTGGTTGGCCAAAATGCCAATAGTGAAAAAATAACAGTTCCCAATTGGTCACAATTCATACGTAGGAATGAATAAAAGGATTGAATTTGAGCAGACACAAATAGTTACAATTCTTACAATTATCTTGCTAGTCAAGAAATGATCACTCAGCTGGGCCCAGTGTAGATGTCACAGAGGAAGCATTTGCATATAAAATGAATATCATTACAGACTGCATTATAGTATATTTTACAAGGGTTGTTCCAAAAGTAATGCCTCCTATTGTTAGCTGTATAGTTCCTATAGTTGGTTGTATGGTAAGAGGTGTTGAATCTTCCCATCAATCACCTATTTTATTTCATTTTTTTCACCAATAAAAATTTTAATTATTTCACTAAGACACAAGGGATTAGTGAGTGTCAAAGAATGAGAAAAAACACTATTAAAGTGTGAAAAACAAAAGAATAGGAATTAAGAAGACAGAAGATAATGATTGACATTTTTTTTTTATTCAGAATTTTTTAAAATTCAGAGCTCCTATACTGGTTGCCAAACATGGCTTGAAAATCCAGTTTGCCCATCTATTAACCTCTACCTTTCAGTGAACATCTGTATGCATTAACCATCTTCAAGCAATTTTATTAGTCCATATGTTGGCAGAAAGGAATAAGTATGTGTTTTTTTAATTATTTACCTCCAAGCAAGGCAATAAAACCCTCTAAGATGTGAGTGGTTACTGAGTGTAGGAGGATATGAGAAATAAAACGCTATTAAAGAGAGAAAACAAAAGAACATGAATTAAGAAGACAGAAGATAATGATTGGCATTGCATTTAAATTCTTTAAGAGCAAAGGTGACTTTGAAGCAAGAAGCCAGAAGAGAGTTCCACAAGCAAGAAGTATGAGAGAAGAAACTGTTAGCATAGAACTTAGGGTTACATCTAACCATTTCAACTGTAAAATGATGAGACCAGGCCACAAACCTAGTAGTATCCAGTTAGCAAGCTTATCTCAATAGATCAATTATAGTGAGTTCAATCCTTATGCAGTGCCCTATACTTTTGCCCTTGTGCCACATCTAAACCATGTTGAGAAAATCACTATAAAGTCTAGGTACCAAAGAGGAGAGTTTATCGGAACAACAACCATAAAAATATTTATAGAAAAGTCACAGGGAAACTGTTATAATGACAGCAAATTGACAGAAGCTGAGATACCAGATAAGGACCAATAATATTGCATATTCTTCTTAGCATTTTATCAAGAATTTCTAAATATATAGCTGAAGTATCAGTCCAGATAAGGCAGCAATATTCAATGTAGGGATGAATAGTAGGTATAAATGTGTGAGATAGATACTGTTGAGAAAAATTGTCTGACATGACGCAGTGAACCAAATTACCTAGCCACAAACCTAGAAATTGATTCAATATAATCTTTTCACTTCATGTCAGAGGAAAATGTTAAAAATTGTGTAATTGTACATGAAGCAGGGGTATATCACTGAATTTCTCCATGCAGAAAAATAATTGCACTTTCAGTGATACTTGCTGAACATATATAGTTACCAATGGATGTGAGCACAGTTAGTTGGTGGGTAATACATTTTATAGTGGTGACATTGATGTATATGATAACCCATGTTTATGAGCACAGTGTGTAGGCACTTGTTCATAGCTTGAAAAAGTGTGTAGCTAATGGTTGTGATTATCTGGAAAAAAATATAGTTGAAATTTTGCTCTATGCAATGGTGTCATTGTGTTATCTGTATCCGTTGGTTTCCTATTAGGATGTGTTTTTTTGCCATTTGTAATTGGAGACCCACTTTTTTTTTTTTATCATTTCACCCCAAGCAAGGTAGAAACGCCATTAGTATGCAGAGGGCTACAGTGAGCGAAAGTGAGATAAATGACTTAGAATAGGGAGGATTGAGGAAAGGACATAAGATGAATGGGATTCAAGAAGATAAAAGATGACAATTGATATTGCATTTAAATTTTTGAAGATTGTAGTTATCAGAGAAGCAAGTAAACAGAAGGGAGTTCCACAGGCGGTAAGTGCGAGAAAAGAAACTGTTGGAGTAGAAGTTAGCTATTTCAACAGTAAACAGGTAGAACCTAGATGCCAATCTAGTAGCAGAGTTAAATTTATGTAATTGAGGGAATTAGGGAAAAAAAGATTGTCAGAGCAGTTGCCATGAAAATATTTGTAGAAAAGATAGAGGGAAGACATGCCACGTTGGTGAGAAAGTGACTGAAGTTGAGATGCCTGATCAGGATTGATTACATTGCAGATCCTTCTTTGGATTTTGAGATGAATAGCAGGAGCACCAGACCAGATATGACAGCAGTATTTAATGCATGGGCGAATGGTTGATTTGTAAATGTTCTAGATGGATTCTGATGAGGAAAATTTTCTGGTATGATACAGGGACCCAACTTTCCTTGTACTAGATGCAGCTATTGATTCAATGTGGTTGCTCCACTTCAAGTCGGTTGAAAAACGTGAGGCCAAGAAGGTGCAATGTTTTTTTCCTTGTTACATTATATGCATTCACACTGTGTTGGCTTGTTGTATTTTCTCACAAGTGTTTTTTTTTCTTTCTTTTTTAAGCTTTCTGAAAAGAAAAGGGTTAATTGATTTTTACTTTTCTTTTCTTTTTTAAATTTCAGGTCTCTCTGCATGACAGATTTTTTTTTTCTTTACAGCGAACAGTATAATTACTCTTAATGTTAGCCTTTCATCTTGTACAGACTAGCATACCTACCCTGACATTACTTCTTTCTCATCACACTCATTCTTTTATCAACCACTCCTCACTATGCCAGTGTATGTAGTCATAGGTAAACCTCTTTCTTCTCTCTCACTTACTTTAAAATTAAAACTTCACTCCACTCTACATGAATCTTTTTATACTTGGCATTTTGGTGGAAGACATTCTTTAGATGGTTGGTAACTATTTCTTGCCTTTTTCTTTTAGGTTTTTTCTTAGCTACTGCTGGAACTTGTCAACTTGTTGATAGACCAATTGGCTTTGAAAAATGACTTCAGCTATGACAAGACACTACTGTTTTGTATGTGATGATCAGCTAACTGAATTGTTTTTGAATCAAGATTATTTTTCAGCCAAACTCAAACCTTGGAAGTGGTTTACTAAGTAAAATTTTGCTTTACCTGTGGAACTTGGCATAACATCTAACTTTGTTGCATTTGGACATCTGAGTTTAATCTTTTGGTTTTACTATTGATGACAGAAACGTTTTTTTCACTTAATAAGTAAAATTTAATTTTTACTTATTTGAACCAGCTGAACTAAATGTTTTCACCTGTTGGAACTGGATTACCTTAACTTAGATATTGGATCTACTTAACTACTTAATTTACCTGGATAAATTAATCTGCCTGTTGGATTTTCTGTGATCATTAAATCTTAGGTTAATTTTTTTTAACTTGCTTTGCTTGTTAAATCTAGTTTACAGATAAGCATCTGTGTTTGTTAAACCTGACTTCATATCAAATGTACTAGATTGATCACTCATCTTGTTACCCTTTGGACTTCATTACTGAAATAAACTTTATTTTTGTTCAACAAACACCTGATATCTTGAAACCCAATTCCAGCTGAATTCTTAACCTAACATGTTTGGATGTCTGTCTTTTTATCTATCTTCAATGCTATGACACTGGAGCAGCTTCATGACATTTTGGTGATTCCTTACTCTTAACACAACTTTTCCCTTTGCTCTAACAGAAAAAAAAATTGCATATTGCTAGTCAATAAAAAATAGTCAAAATGGTTTGTGGCGCTTACTATGAAAGTGTTTCTATTGTGTTCAGGGGAGTCACAAGCGTTGTTCGGTTGTGCGTGGAGAAGGAGACCCAGGAAGAATATGCTGTCAAGATAATAGATGTCAGTGGAGAGAACTGCAGTGACAATTACCCTATAGAACAAGCCAAAGAGGACACAATGCGGGAGATCAAGGTCCTGAAATTGTGCTCCAATCATAGATATATAAGTAAGTATAATGATTTTTTTACTTTTTATTCTCACCTATAGATTTGCACCGTCTTTCACATGTAAGGAAATGAGTAAACGCATTTACACAGAGAAAATATTATTTGGTTCATATTTTTCTTTTTAAGTAAATCTTAACTCCTTGTCCTCCTGACGTTATTTTAAATGTACACCTTTTCTTCCATATATCTAAACTCTAACTTTTGAAAGTGAAAATTTCACTATGTAAAGTTTTCATTTAAAATCAAGAAAATACAGAATTTAAGCAAAACTTACACAATTTATATTTGGACTATTGTCTTCATCTTTATTGTTGTTATAACAACATTTTGTTCATTGTGCCCTCTGGCCATCCTCAGGTGTATATTGATCTGGGTAACACACAAAGAATTCTGAACTGAATTTTTAATCTATGGTGGTAACCCTTTGTTGTTCTACTGCTTTATGTCTAGGGATATCCCAGAAATTCAGATAAAAATTTAAACAAGATGATCATAATTTCTACTTGAATTTCAGGTCTTTATTGTTTAGCAATCTGCGATAGAAATGGCTAGTGAAATATTTTATAGCAATGTATCAGTTACATAATTTTATATAAGCACTTAATATTTTTTTATTTTTAATTTGACATTATTTCTTATGACTATGGCTGTTATATTTAGTGGGTACACATGTTTGAGTAGACTTCTGATTTTTTTTTTTAAACAGTTTTTTAGGGATCAGAAATCTTACTAAAGAAAAGCTGCCCGCTGACAGGAATTGAACCTGTATTTCCAGATTTAAAAAGGAATACAGGTTCGATTCTTGTCAGGAGACATATTTTCTTTAGGAAGACTTTCGATCTCTAAGCCAGTAAACATTAATTTCACTGTTTACAAAAACAAAAACTCCTATTATCTGAATTTCTGAAATAAGGAGTTATCATTATTTACACTATTTGCCTTTGGCTATTGCCTTCGTCTTTGTTGTTTTATCACAACGTTTCAGCTATTGTGCCACCTGGCCTTCATCAGGTGTATATTGATCTAGGTAACCTGCAAGGAATTCCAGACTGAACCCTTTATTTAATCTACAGAGGTAGACTGTTCTTTTATGCAAATAGTGTAAATAATGAATGCAATATATGGAAAAAGGAAGGTGTCAGTTTACACTGACATCAGGAGGATACAAGTTAATATAAATGACCATAATTTTAATATGAAAGCAATATTGTTTTTTTTCTATATTTAAACAAGGTATTACCAAAAATTATAGGGAATTTAGTTTTGGAAAAATTACCCACCTTAAAACTTAGTATTCACCATCTACTTCAAAGTACTTCCCTTGGGTATGTATACAATGACCCAAAAAGGTACTGCTCATAAAAGATAGTGGCAAAAATCTATACTATATTTGGTTAATAGGCTGAGATCAGTCTCTGAACTTTTGCGCCTGTACACTTAATTTCTACAGATGAATAAGTGCTTTGGGTAATTTCTTTTATTTACTTTAATAGTGGCACTTTTTTTTAATTTAGTAATGGTTCATGCTTAAATTTAAAAGATGGAGGCTTACAGGTTTTATTATGGTTGGGAAGAAATTATAAGAAATTAAACCAGTGTTTTTGACATTTTGGTTTTGGATCCACAGAAATCTATATCTAAATAGACTAGTTTGTACCTTTTAAAAAATCATTTCACCCTAAGCAAGGCAACATAGCCTGTTTGTGAAAGACTATACAAAAAACATTAAGGAGAGAGAACAATAAAAGAACAGCAATTAAGAAAACAGAAGATAACGATTGACATTACATTTAAATTTTTGATGGTCTGGTGCTCCCTCTGTAAGGCTTGAGGTCCTTGACAAAATCCAGAGACGAATATGCAAGATGATAGGTCCTGACCTGGCATCTAGTCTACAATCGCTATCTCACAGATGTGCTGTGGCCTCTCTATGTCTCTTCTACAAATATTTTCATGGCAACTGTTCTGATGAGTTACTTTTACTGGTTCCCGGACTACATGAATTTAAACGTGCTACCAAGCTGATATCTCGGTCTCACCCTTTCACTGCCAAAATGGTTAAATGTAACTGTCTCTTCTCAAACACCTGCTTCTCCTGCACTTCCCGTCTGTGGAACTCCCTTCCCCTTACTTGCTCCATCGATGACTATAATCTTCAAATATTCAAGTGTAATATCAATCGACATCTGACACCCTTAAGCTTGTTCCCCGTCCTTCTCTGTATCCTTTTCTGAAACACACCTCTTTACTCTTGTTCTCAATCTTCTGTAACCCCTTGCATGCTAGTGACACTCCTGCCTTGCTTGGGGTGAATTGCCTTAAAAAAAAAAAATCAAAGTTGACTGGAAAGCAAAAATCTAGAAGAGAATCCATGTGTGAGAAAAGAAATTTACATAGAACATACAGTTACATCTAGTCATGTTAACTGTAAAATGATGAGATCCTGCTAACAATCTAGTAATGTGCTTAAACTCAGTCTAGGTACCATAGAGGAGAGTTCATCAGAACATTTACCATGAAAATATTTATAGAAAAGGCATAGGAAAGCTACATTATGGCAGTGAGTAAGTGATTGAAGACAATATAAGTTCAGGACCATTAACATTGCAGATTCTTCCTTGAATTTTATCAAGGGTCTCTAAATATAGTATGCATAACTCTTTTAGCACTTCTATATTGCTCCCAAAATCATATTGACTCCATCATTAGATCATGAATCCTTGATGAATGTTATAAAAAAAAACAAAATAAGATGGTGTTGAAAAGTTCTTAGGTCAATTGAGACAGGTTTAAAAACAATCTGGTCTTTGAATAGATTTTGGGGAGTGGGTTAAGCTAAGAATTTTTCAGCACTCTCTCACATAATAACAAAGTCTTCAGGCTGAACTTTTGACTGTTTGGGAATATATTTGCTCTGAACAGTATTTATAATTTTGTGTTATGCCTTTTACAGCTGAGGTATCAGAAAAATATGAGTTGGGCAAAAGAAAGCAATGTTGAAGAGAAATGTTTTACATGAAGAATATTGAATTAGGATCAAATATGGATCAGAACCTGACAGAATGATAGGATAAAGAATAAATAGGAAATGTTTATCAATCTAATGTGTTTCACTTTTATTAAAGCTCATGTAGAATATTGTATTTTATGAAATTCTTAAATAAATTATGATAATGATGAGTTTTTTCTCTCTCAAATTTATATATTTGTAAATGGATATGATCTAATTTTACGAAAATTGATGACAAAGTGGGAAAAAATTATGCAGTGACAATTACCCTGTAGAAACAACTTCTTCTCCTGCAATTCCCGTTTGTGGAAATCCCTTCCCTTTATATTTCCGAGTAAATTTTAAACTATATTCCAGGAGTGAAATGGTGGTGCAATCCAGCTTGGAACTTCAAATCACAATAAGGTTTCCTTAATTTTATTGCCTCTGGGCACTGACAAAAAAAAAAAAAAAAACAAGACTTTTTTTTTTTTTTTTTTTAATTTAATCTATTTTTGCCATACATCATAGAAAAATACTAAACATGATAATTATCTGATTTTATCATTTTCTCATCTTCTATATAATAAATACGAATGTCAGTGTGTCACACTTTTTCAACTTTACTCCTAGAGGCTGTAGTCCAACATATCATACCATTTTGGAATCATGCCAACTGCATGAGCAAATTAAAAACATTCCAGGTCAGATCCAGACTCACAATCCTGAAATATTGGATTTCTAACTTTTTCATTACTGCAATTGTTTTCGGTGATTTTTATGTAACAATTTTTTTTTTTTGTATGATAACAATTTTTATAACTTGGAAATAAATTTGGAAATGATTTAAATTAATTGCAAAAATCAGTGAAAGTCACCCATGAAATAAGAATAATTGTTTGTATGGAAATTAAGGACATATGTACATCAAATTGTTTTTAAATTAAGTGGTGGCAGAAGAATTATCATTGAACTTTTAAAAGGTAAGGTTAAATATTAATGCAATACTTAAATGCAGTGATCAATTGTAAGTTCTTCTGTAGTTTATCATTGCCTATCACATCTACTCCTCCCTACCTATTGTAATGAAGGCCCAATCAAGAACCCTCTGTAGGAGCTAGCTTAAATGCCACCCGATAGGGAAACTTTTACGCTAGGATTAAATAAGTTCACTTATGTACCAAGGCTTTCTTATTTTGATTTTAGTAGTCATGAAAAAAAAACCCCAAAAAACAAAAACAATAGCTGTTTTTAAACTGAATTTCTAGTAACATAAAACATAACCTTTTCAGAGCAAAAAGGCATTTTGTGATAAATATCTTAAACATTAAGGCTGTAGAAAAAAAGTAATTTTTGTTCTTGCTTCAATTAAAGATTGATACAAATATTAAGGTATATTTGTTCATTTCATTATGACTTAGTTTTTAGTTAATCAATGTTTACTTATCTAAGTATTTTTAGTGGAAGTAGATATGTCCTATTTTCGGATAGTCTATTCATATCTTTGTTAATTCCCACCAACCAAACATACTTATTGAAATAGTTCATTTCAATTAAAAAGAAAAAAAAAATCTGCAAATATATTAAAGTAACTGATTATTTTTATCCTAATTATTGTATTTAAGATCTGATCAAAAAGTATTTGGACTGTTACTCTGGTAACACATCTAAACTATGCAGCTGAATCCATTTGGCACAGATTGACTGTGATCTCTTTCATGTGTGCACATTAAGCTATAACATTCTTGCTCACTTCCATTGTTTATAGCAGTGCTTGTAAAGAAACTGTGTAGGGTGTGGTCATCTCACTATGCCACAGAGGTTCCATCAGTGACCATGGTTTGTGCAACAGTTTTTGGCTAAGGACAACATTTCCCATTTCTAACAATCACCATATTACCCAGATCTCACCTCTTGTGACTTTTTGGAACAAGATTTCAAGACATTTATGAAATCCAAGAGACTGTGATGAGGCAGCTGTTTGCTATTCCAAAAAAGGAGTTCTTCCAA